AAAAAAAAAAAAAAAAAAAAAGAAAACGAACATGCCTATAGATTTCTCATGAAATGAAGAACCTCCTTCTCGATCATCGAAACCGCTTTGAAACTGCATTCCATGAAAATCGCTTAATTAATAATTAGCTTCGGCGGTAAATAAGGTGAGAGGGAAAGCAGGTGATTTTATTAACTGAAAATCGGTTAATTAGTAATTAGTCTTTGCAGTAAACGTCGGATGAGAGAAAGTGACAAAGGTGAGTTTGACCGAGCAGGAAAAAATGGATTTTCATTAAGAGAATCGACGAAACTATGAATTATCCGGCTTGTAATTAACGTTATCTTGGAAATTGGACGAATTCGTGAATTCCATGTAATTTATTATATATCGTCGAGCTCTCTTGTTCTTGGAAAAAGAGTAAATGGAACGGGTCGATTGAATAATGCGATGCATCGCGCGTTCCATTTAATTACGCAAATCGCGCGAGAAGCTGAAAGTTGAAAGCGACAACAGGATACACGAAAGGCAAATGATTGCTGCGAACGGTACTCCATACGAATTAGGTCAGCATCGGATGTGTATATAGTATACGTGAGTTGTGTATATATACATATACATATACGTAAGCGTTTGTGTATATATATATATATATATATATATATATATATGTACATACATATATACGTGTGTGTATGTGTGTACACGTATGCGCGGATCGTGTTTGTATTGCTGCTTCTCGAGAGCGCTTAAGCAAGAGTGTGAATAAATTTCTTTATCAAACAAATCCTGGATACATGGACGTGTTTTTAAGTAATTGCTTTCCCTCCGTTGCTAAACACCTCCATCTGGCGTTAATTTTAATCAAGTAAAATACACTCGACTTGTTCCGCTTGACACATTTCATCTCACTTTACGAGCTTTACAAAACCGTCGTGTAAAAGAGTGGTGAAAAAAATGTTGTGCCATTTCATACGGGAAATATCTCATATAGAAAGTAGTTGATCTCCTATTCCTTCTTTTTCTTGTTTCTCGGTTACGCGTCTTTTCAAGTTGCACGTAATAGCCAGGGATGAAACGTGTAACGAGGCATCCCCAGTGATGCCACCGAGAGAGGGTGTACGGTAACGAGTTAGTCATTAGTTCGCGATAACAAAGCAAGCCTATGTTTTTCCTAGCGACTAGACAACCAACATTCATACAGAAGTCGAGGGATCCATATCTGTGTTACGCACAATCCCCACCACGAGCTCCATCTCGTTTCGCTATTCTATCTAAGCCTGTCTATATTCCCCTGTCTTCCTTGTCAATCTTTCTATTGACCTATACTACGACCTCGATTGACCATCAGACCAGATTGAACTCTGGTTCGCCGATTTTTCTATCAATTTCGTTTGTTCTGGCTTCGACTCGTTCCCTTTCACGAAAAAGGTTGATCAAGCAGAAATTTCAACGTTCACATTGGTCCAGCCACAGCCAATCGTAACATAAATTAATACGGTAGTACATGGTGATTAACGAGGATAATCGGTTGAAATGCATTTGAGGGAGACGTTTAGAATGTTTGGCCGTGGGTGGTGGCCCCGAATCGTTGCTGCACACAACACTCTGGATGCGTTTGCAAATTGTCATTACCCCGTATTAATTTAGAGTCTAAACGAAGCGATACGATATGAGAAAAGAGAAAAGTCGTAGTTACCTGGAGAAGCTGATAATCCTAGGCAATGAGGGCTCCGTGATGCAGTGATACTGGCATGGCGCTTTCTGGTACGACACTGGAACTGTACTCGACTCGTGAAGTGTCCTACCTCGAAAGGTTCGTCTCCTGGACTGCCACCGTTCAGAAACCTACATACACTCACACCTACTACCTGGTTGCTGGCACGCTATTGATCCTGGCCCAGACACCCGTCGACCCACGCAGACGCTTAGCGTTGCCGCGTCGCTTTAGCAACATGACGTCATTCGACTCCCCAAACCCCGTACCGCAACGGAGCTAGTATGATGCATCGTCCTTTTCTTCCTTCGTTTCGTACGGTTACCATCACGAGCGCTACTAATTCTCGCCTAACATGTCCCACCTACCGTTCGTCTGACACTCGTACCTCCAAATATCATGATTTTCAACATGACCGCATCAATTGACATGTTCACACGTACCGATAGAATCATATATATTACCGTAAACAAAAGTTTTGCTTATTCTTTTCCCGAATGTTTTCTGATCATTTCCAAAGTGCACGTTATCGACGATCAGACCTATTCGGCAGAATTTCATGAAAAGAATACTTTCGTTCGATCAATATCGGAACGATATCGAAATTTCCGAAAGCTAAATCAAATTCGATCGTTTATATCGATTGATCGCACCGATGTATCTTATATAGAACGCTTTAATTATCGATTATTCTAATGATTTTTCGAGAGAAATGCACCTTGAATCATTAAAAATAATTTTTCGATTATCGCAGATTCTAGTAAGACAAATAGAATAGTAGATCATGGAAACTACGTATGTGTCTATAAATTCATCTTATGTAAACGTATTATCACGTAGAACATCAGCATCATAAACATCATAAAATGCAATTTTAAGAGCAAGATATACTTTATTGTGACCTACAAAAAAGTTTGCTAGCAATTCCATAAACACATGCATAAGGAAGAAACAACACGTATTTCAGTCTTTTACATTTTTCTGAATTTATTTTATTTACTCCATAGAATTACATTCTATATAGTAACTACACCTACAAAATACGGATAAAATATATTACTTAGCAATCAAGGATACAATTTGACTGCAGAATCCATTGATAGAAAAGATTCTTCATCAACTAAATTGATAAAATCATACGTAATTAATTTTTGATGGAGAAATTAAGAAAATGCATTACAAATAACTTTTTAATTCATTTTTCTGTTGTGATTGGTATTGCTGACGATTTCTCAACCTCCTTTTGTCATCCATGTTTTCTGAGGATGCTCTGTATCGGTTTGTATATATCATTGGCCTTAGTATAAATTCTTCCACAGTATACTTAAAAAAATAAAAATTATACATTAATTACAAAGTATAATTATAAATTTCTACAAAATTGCTGTAACTTACATTGGTTTGAATAAGATCTTGCTTTCTTGCTTGTTCTATTAAATTAAATAGTTGCTTGCTTTCTTGTACATTTTCTGTCTTCAATTTTTCTTCTAGTTCACATATCTGTAAAGCGAATATAAAGCAATATAAGGAAGAATGTAGAGAAACCCATACTATAATTATTACGTAAGGCCTGATTTAATCAAAACTAATAATTAACAGGACAAATTAAACAATGCACATAAATACCGATATTGAATTAACTTTACAGCAATAAACTTTAATTTTACATACCACATCAGCAAAAAAATATTGAGGTTTAAGATGAGCATTATCTTGTTCTAATCCATGTTTCAAGATAGGAATTATTTGTATATATCGTCCCAAATACACATATGCCAACATTTTAAGACCTCTAACACTCATAATTCCCTCTAGTGGTATTGTACTTAATATGTCCAGAGCTACTTCAGGCTTATTATTTTTAATCGCTAAACATGATAACAATGAACAACTTCTTATAGAAGGTCTCATTCTATCATACTGCTCTTTCCAATAATTTAATGCGTATTCTAGTGACTCTGGAGTATTCTAAATAACAAAATGTGATTAATTAAAAACCTAAAATATTAATTAATATAATATAGAATTACTAATTAAAAAGTACCTCCTTCAGACATCCTGCATACATTAAGACATTAGAGCTCCCAATGTACTCTACACCATTCTTATCCAAAACTTCCTGGTATACCTCTCTCATTTCTTTGAACATATTATTTTTATATAACAAACACATTAAAATACGGAAAGATGTGCGGTAACCAAAGCTTTCTTTCAATGCATCATTATCAAATGCCTCTAAGGCATATTGTGGTTGATTCAAATGATAATACATTCTCATTACAACTGGTCCAAATATGTATATACCAAACTTCTTTTCTTCTTGTTTCTGAATATACTTCTCTAACATATTATTTAACAGTTGCATATCACTTTCATTAGCTTGTGCCAAATGTATCATTGCTTTTAAATCTTCTGTATATATCACTCCATTCTGATCCTGACATATTTCCTGCATTTTTTCACGAAATGTATTTTCTATCGTCATAAACTGATTGCGAAATATGTATCTCGTATTCTCATACGATGATACGCCTAAGTCTCGTTCCGTATATAAACACCGAACACCAACTACAAACAAAAAAAAAGTACTATTAAAAATCAACCGGAAATCTTTTATTTATTTTAGAATCAATATTAATATTAATATTTGAAACCATTCTTCTCTCATATTATTTGCGTTATGGTCATTTTTGAACTCGTTATTCTAATTTAAGTCCACGTAGTACAGGTTTAGGTTAAGAATATAACGTACCATTTATAAAATTATACTTGAAAAATGCATTATTTGCCAGAGAAATATTTAATCTACAAAGTCCTCGAAGACTGGTCGCCATGGTTTAACAAACAAATAATATTTTATATTTAATATCAGTATAGTAACAAGACCGGACGAACAAACTATCGACTACTCCTTACGCTTGAAACAAGTAAAAGGCCCATGTTCTCTATTATAACGGAAATGATAGCAGAGAAAATCACGTGGTTTCCGATTTTATGGACAACTATGATCAATAATACAATTGAGGTATAATTGATGCTCTGTTATCACAATTATATCACTTTTTAATGTAATAAAACGATTATTTTATCTGTTTTAAGCAGTTTCTGAAAAGTAAAGTCAAATTCATAAATAAATAAAATATTTTTACCGGATGAACTTATATCTTGCTTGGACTATAATTTGTTTTAAAATATGTTATATTTTTGTAAAATATAAAATAATTCTCTATTTCTAAAATAAATTGGTCCTAATTAGTCGATCATTTACTTCATGTTGCATTCAATTAGAATCAATACTTCTTATGCAATACGATACATATAACACGTGAAAATTAAGATAATTTTCATAAAAATAACTTTTGCCCACTAACTTACCATTTCTAAACATTTTTAAACGAGACAGTTAAATTGATTAATTAATCAGTAGTTAAAACTTTATAGTTTTCTGAAATAAGTAATTACATTTTCTAGCATTGTTTTTTATTTCATTCTTCTTTCTTAACATTTATTCTATCTTATTAATCTATGCTGTATATTTTTATAAAGTTAATGCAAGATATATATTGTAATTTATTTATTCAGTCCTTATTACTACTTTACATTGTACATTACATTACATCACATTTTGCTATATTATGTAATACTTTCATGCTTAAAATTCTCTTTCAATTACTTGTATTTATCAAATTTTGTATTAGTTACAATTTTCAGCATCTTTAAATCTGTATCAATTTATTCCATCACTTTAACTATCGTTGGTGACTAATTTTTTTTCATTATATTTAAGTGAATGCCTTTTATATTACACTTATTCAGCTTAAAATGAAACTTACAATTACTTAATAGGTACTAAATGACATAGATTTTCATGATACTGAATGATTTAATCCTAAATTAATAGGGCAGTAAAGAATGTTGCAAAGAACTAATACTTATACTAAGAGCAAAAAATAAAAATTACTTTAATGTACTGTCAGATATATGCAATTTTTTCTCACTTCTTCTTTTTAATTGATATTTGTTTGAAAGAACAACATTACGTAATGTTGAATGAAGAAATCTTTTATTAATAGATTCCTTTGGTTTTATCCATCCACTGGGTCCCATTATTTCTGCTCTTTTTGCCCCAATCTTAGCTTCTTCTAATAATGCCTCAACTGCGAGTCTAAAAATCAAAATAAAAAATTCTATATTATATCCTAAATTAGTTCAACAAACAGACTATAGCAAGTATTCTGAAATATAATAATTTTATTAATTCTCAACAAACCGATTATGTCAGGTTTTACATTATTGTCATTATTTTATGATCTTGAAAGCGTCTTATTATCTCTGATGAAATACATATGCAAATAATACAAGTTAACCTTTGTATTGAAGCATGAACAAAGTGAAGCTTAAACTCACCTGTTTAATGTTTCGTCATCCATTTTCTCAATATTTTATAATTTTCTCAACCCTTGCACGCAAAACATGAGAACTTTCTCGTTAATTTATATCTTTCCTTTGTTGAAATTGTTCCTTAACAAACAATGAATTTTATTGTTCGTTACAGACAGTAGAAAGATTTTTAATATTCTTCTTGTTACATACTAAATAAACAAATAGTTATCACGTAAATTTATAATAAGAATAAAATTATACTACCTTTATGTACATTATTCCCGTGTTGACATAAACAACAGATGTTCGTATAAATTAAGGTTAAGTTTATGTCACAAATTAAGTTATGTGCGCTTACGAATACCTCCTATATTTATATATTTTCATTCGTAATATTTAATTTATAATATTGTAATAACTTGAATACAAAGATATTAGATTGATACTATTTACAATCTGCAAGATATCATTTGGTAATGGTAAATTATATTCTAGCATACTTTTAATGCATTTATTAAATTTTACATCTAAGTAATTTTAATAGTTGAAAATAAAGTACATGAATTTGATAAATTATAAGTATGTAATTGTATTAGAGAATATTGCATTTAATTGTTTTAAATGCACATTATTTTAAAAATATATCAAATAAAATTATCTATTTATTATACAAATTCAAATATTCAGTTAATTAATAATTTAAATCTAATTCTATTTTAGGATGATGGAAGATCCTGAATTGATTGAGTTAAATAAATTAAAAAATGAGCTTGTTGCAAAAGCAAATAACTTAGTTGAAAAATTAAAAGAACAGGAAAATCAGCAAGAAGTTGTTATGTTAAAGTTGTATTATATTTATCCTTAAATTTATCCTTCTATATCAAATCTATTATATCCTTGATATTAATTTTTATTATTTCTAAATCAGTTTGCCAAGGACTGCAGAATCTGGTAATAACACAAAAGAAAAATTACAAGGACAATATACACATATACTATGTAATGTTTCTTGCGGAGTCTCTGGTATAACATTTAAAGATACAGATAAGAAATGGTTGCATGATAATGTCTATAAATATACAACTTGTTTAAAAACGAAAGCTTTAAATTTATATGTAGAGTTAACAGTACAATTGGAGGTATATAACACAAAATAACACTACCTCTATAATAAAATACATTGTTTTGATGTATTATTTTTCCGCTTTATTTTAGGATGAAAAAGAATTTGAAATTTGTGATATAACATGTCATTTTATAAATATTGATAAATGTTATATGTTGGAGATTGAATCTTGGGTACAAAATATGACTAGAATGAAAAATTTTTCACTTCTTACATCTGGTAATTTACAAGTTATATAATTTTATCTGTAACACGAGAAAGTAGTACTTAAACATTAAAGATTTGTTCTTCTAGCAATTTCACAATACAGTGAGGAAAACATGGTAAGAAAAAGGATACTTGATAAGTTGAATGATGGGAAGTATGTAAGTTGTAAACAGTGTAAAGAAGAAAATGGTGGAGTTTTAGTATATATACATTCAACTGAAAACGTAAAGCATGTGTATTTAATACTTCAATGGTCAGTATTGTTTTCGGAGCGGTATTGGAAAATGGAGCATCATTTTGTCATAAATCCTAAAAAAACTGATAATATATGTAATCAGCACTTTCCTCTTACTGCAAAGTTTGCACAAGAAAATCAATCTTTGCTGCAAAATTTTTGCAAACCAAACCTTACAAAAGAAAATGTCATTGACTTATGGGATGATCTATGTTCTGTTATTGACATGTATGAAGATAGTAATCAGTCGGAAATTAATGATGATATGGAGTAATATTTTTTTAAACTTAAACTATTATAAACGTTACTGAATAAACTATCGTCGGATAATGTATGATAATAAAGAATCAATAAATATTTATTTCAAATATATTTGGTGCATTATAATTTTAACATTTTCATATTTTCATATACAGGTTATGTTAAGAAGTATGGAATTAGTGAAATTGTCCTTTTTCGTGACATAACATCTTTTTAATACTCGTATTAAGATGTGTTTAACAATTATTGTCTATTTTGATTAATATTTTTGATTAATGTCTTTATATATGTAAATAAGAAATTGCAAAGTACAACTCCCCAGTGGCGCAATCGGTTAGCGCACGGTACTTATATGACAGTAAATTTGTGAGCAATGCCGGGGTTGTGAGTTCGAGCCTCACCTGGGGAAATTTTTTTTTATGTTTATGTTCATAATATTTGAATTTAAAACATGTAAAACATATCTTACATCTTCTATGTTTGATTATTACATACAACTAATTATCATATTAAACATGTTTTAAGACAGAAATCTAATAAGTATATTTATTTGTACTGTTCATACATTATTGGATACTTTATCCTTTATTAAGCTCTTATAAATGTATTATTAAACCAATTTAACATTTTATTTTTAATAACAATTTTATTCAAGTGCATACATTGTTTACATACTAAATATATAATATAAATAAAGTAACTAAAATATATTAGCCCGTAGCCACTGTTTCTGTTTGCGATTCTGATTCTCCACTTTTATTTCTTTCAATTTCTTCTGCAGCTTTTCTTCGATTTCTCCATGCTCTCATATATGTTTTTGGATGTATTGGAAAGAAACCACAAAGTCCTAACAATATTGCTACTGGTTTTGATACTGTTACATTTTGTCCCAACCAATATTGTATCCGTTCAAAATTTAAAGCAATTAATTTTTCATTGTATTTGTTTGGCATAGGGTCATAGGTACCTAGTTGTTCTATCGGTGGTTTATGTTGTCCACTTTTAGTCTGAAATGAAATTAGTTCACACCGTACTTATAGATTTATATTAGTGAGATTATCAAGAAGTTTCATTGTAAGAATTTTATTTATAGAAATGTAAACAACCAAGTCTGTGTAATTTATTGTATTAGAAACAACGTTATATACAATGTAAATAACTATGTTATTTACTTGGTAACTTATATGTATTAAAAAAGAAATCATAATAAAATTCAATTATAGCAAAAAAATGCGACTGACAAATAGAAAAATTAAAATTAAATATTGAAAAGTTATATGTTTATATAGGTGAATAAACGGACATAAAATAATGTTTTTTTTTTATTAAAAAGTAGTGTGGTTGTAGTTTTAATTAAAAATCATTTGTGAACACTTACAGGCATAACAACAATGTGATAAAAAGGTCTGTTAGCACATCCATAACGAACAAATCGTATCGATCTAGGATAGAAAGCATTCACAACACCAATCCCCGATGAGGGATGCAATGGTAAACGTGGCATTTCGTTAAATATTTATCAGTTCAAGTTATATTACAACACAAAATTACAACTCTGTCACGTAAAAGACTTCAGCTCATCATTGGAGGTTATGTTAGGTACGATTAGTTGGACAACCTATTAAGATATGAATTTGGCATCAACAATTTAGAATCTATGTATATTAGAATATTACCTGATATTACATTTACTTAATAATTACGATAGTCAATATTACTTCAAGTAAAAGAAATTAATATTCAAAACGAGAGTTATTTAAGTTAATTTTAATAAATATTCATCTATTTACAAAAGTATTTAATGGAAATTAATAAATAAGTACAGTATATATATTTTAAATACAATATTTTAATGATTAGTATCCCTATACAGAAATAAAAAAATATTAATATTTTTTTGCAATTAAATTAATTAATAATCATAAAAAATATTTAATGTAGAGAGGGGAGTCTTAATGAAGATTAGTGTCTTAGCGCTACCTGGCGCTAAGATATTTGTATTAACTAAAACAATTGATATAATAAATATTATAACAAAGATCAGTCTTAGTGCTACCTGGGGCTAACGTATTTGTATTAACTGAAACAATTGATATAATAAATATTATATTATATTTCATTTTTTAAAAAATTTGCATGAATTTCTAGCTATTCATAAAATAATTCAAAAGAGATTTCAACATATTTCATAAATAGAATTTACTATAAACGAATTTACGAATGAATCTTAATCATTATAAAAATCATAATAATGCTGTTATTCATATTTACAACTTGTATTTAATTCTATCGAAGAGATTTTGTTTATAAAATTTCCGTATGAAATTTAGGTAGAAGGATAATTTATACGATGAATCGAATGGTGTACAGTTTTTGGGTCAGCGCATGTGCAACACGTGAATCCCTACAGATGCTTCCAATGTTTGGAATAGAGGGGTGAGGTTAGGACTTGAATCCGTTCAACCGAATGGTTTCGTTGTCAGTTTGACATGCACAGGCGTTCTGTGTGCATCGGTAGTGTGAGGTGTTACAAGTTTCTCTATAACCATATATCCTTCCTTGCATACAATAATCTTGAATTAATCAATGAATTCACATTTAGTATTCCTGTCAATATAATTTTCAATTTTCGCGTAACAAAGTAACAAATTATTGATGTTTATATATAAAACGACGTGGCCGCGGAAAACAAGTGAAAACCGGCAAGATAATTAGGAGTCTAGAATTATTAATTATAATCAACGGTTAATGGTGTTCGTCGATATTCGCGGTGATGCGCTACGAGACCGTCTTTTCTTGTAGTCATTTTGCATCCAGGTTATATCTCGAAAGGGAATAACCTCGATTTCAGGGAGAGCAGGTTGATTTTTTTTTATTGTTAACGATCGCGAGATTTGTTAAAATCCGGAATCATGGATTCCAATACACCGAAAGTGAGATTCGCACTTGGAAGTGAAGTGTCGTCGAACCACTTCAAAAGTAACTTTGCGCGTTCTTTTGTGACCAATTGTCGTGAATCTAAATCGCTGAATTACGAGCTCCTTAACAACAAGACTAATGAAGATGATACACAGACCAATGGCAACAACAATAATTTCACCTCCCTCCTCAATTTCGGAAGTGACAGAACGACCGTCGTGGATAATAACGCCTTTAAGGACTCTCCAAACCTTTGGAAAACGAATGAGGTAAATATTCTCTTTCTTTTTTTAATTTTTATTAAACCTCTCATCAACCAAGTTGTTTATGTCATGTATTTTCGTCATAAGTAGATATATTTTCTTGAACGGAA